GCAATTTTCTAAATTAGCAGTTGTCACAATTTCATCCATAATTTAAGGGACATCATCTCAGTCTCCCTGAATGCAGGAGGAACACAAATTTCACCGAGCAGAATTGAACTGCCATTGAGTGACTTCTGACCATGCCTTTTGAATGAGCTGTATAGTTTCAAGAATATCAATTTTTTTTCCAAAACGTTTTTAATGTCATCGTTGAAGGGAACTGGCGTGCTTCAAAACACCGACGAAACAGTGCTCGATTGTATAATTTCTTGAAACCTGCAATAACCTCTTGATTCATTGGTTGAACCAACAGAGTGATTTTCATGCGCAGAAACTGAACTGGCAGCCAGGAAAAGCCTTCCAGTAAATTATTTTCAAGGTCTTTTGGGTGTCCTGGTGCATTGTCCAATAGCAACAGTCTTTCAATGGCAATTCATTGTCTGAAGGTAATCCTTGATGCTTGGAGCACAAACTTCAAACAGCCATACTTTGAAAGAGCCTGCATGACTCATGCCTGTTGGCAGTTTTTCTTTAATTACAGAATTTTTTTTAATGCTCTAGGGTTCTCAGAGTGATAGACAAGGAACTGGATAAGTTCATACCACTACTAGCATTAGCTCCCAAAAGTAAAGTCAATCGGTTTTTCACGATTTTATGCCCAGGAATATTTTTTTTCGTGTTTTGTGATGTAGGTATGGTTCGGCACCGTTTTCAAAATAAACCAGTTTCATCACAATTGAAAAGTTGTTGTGAACAATATCCTTCTTTTATAATGAATTATTCAAATTTGAGACAGAACTTCTCAGGTTCTTTATCTGCACTGGCAGACTCACCGTGAATTACCACATGTTTAATGCCAGATATCCTTCTAAACTTTACAAACCATCCAGTGGTAGCCTTGAATTCTATCTCTTTTACGAATGTGTAGTTTATTTCTTCAGTTCTTCAAAAATTTCTTTAGCTTTCTCTTCAATGATAGTCATACTAGTTACGTCCCTTTTTATTTCTCTTTCTTTTATCCAATTAAAAGCAATTTTTTTAATTTTTCATGGATGGCACATCTTTGTTTCTCAGATATGATTTTTGTTACTCCTTTAGCTGCTTGAGTCTTCTTGATTCTTTACCTTTCTTAACTAAGATTGTGCCTACTGTAGACCTGTTTGAGCCATACTGCCTAGCAACATCAATCATCTGCCTAATCTCTACCTTGGCTATTATCTCTTGTTTGGTTTCTATGGTGAGCATGGTTCTTGACACTCCACTCTTTTTAGGCTCCATAATATTATCAATCTCTTTTTGAAATAAAAAGTTGAGAAGAGCACTTATAAAAATTCAATGAACAGATATCAACTAGTGCATGAAAGAATTACATAAATGTATGGCTTAAATGAAATTCGAAAATTTTAGTGTTAAAACGTTAACGAATATCCGATAGGACAGTTAAATACGCGAGCCGTTCATAGCCCGGCACAAGTATTTGTAAAATCTAGGTGACTCGTACAATTTGGAATTCATATAAAACGGAATTATCAACAGTGTTATGGGGGGGTCGACTGTACTTATATTCCGGTTATGCCTATGCGGTACCGGAAATGTACGTTTTATATGTACCTAAATAAAAGATTGTGTGTTTGTACTTATATGTGAAAATGGACGATAGAATCCTTTGACGGAAATGGTAAGCTAAAAACATGTGCTCACATGTGAAGGTTGTCTTGTCTTCTTTTATCTGCAAGTTGGACAAAAGCTGTTAGGCTATGGCGCCCCGTGATGAAATGTGACATGGTTAGTGTTATATATATTTTTTTATATTCGCTGAAGTATGTAATCAAACTTTGTAGGCATATGTTAGAATGAGTTAATTTCAGGCAATCACTAATTTTCTGGAGATTGATGCTTATTAGGCTTTGTTAAATAAGATTTTCCTTCTTATATAGTCAAATTTTGGGCAATCGTCGAGGCAGTGGATCTTCTTCTTCTCAGATGTTGATATGGAGATTATAGCTCTTATAGGCTCTTTCTCCGACAGACATTTGGTTATGATCGCTATGCGACCGAAGAGCCAGCCGTATCNTAACTGACTTGGCTGCCATGCTTACGTTTGCATATTTGCAAAATGAGCTAAATAATTGTTGTCTTGTCTACCTTTATTGCTTGTGGTCGAACTAGAAGCATTTAGTTGTCTGTTTTATTTATGTTTATTTTGTGCAAACGTATCACATACAACTTCAGAATGTGTTTTGTGTATTGAAAATACCATTGTTTAACATCATGTTAGTTAATTTCCTGTCAACTTTTAAAATTGTCAATAATGTCATTTCTTCCAAAATAAATACGGTAATATACCTATTGTCAAAGATCCAGTTTTAAGCTAATGATGAAAACACCTGAAAGCCTGAAATCATTTATTTTTATCATACTGCAGAGGGAAGACTTGACACATTTACTTTAAAAGTTTCCAGAGAGAGAGAGTAGATGTTCACTTAGACGAGTGTTTTATAACAATATAAATGCAGCAGATATAAATTCTTTGTAATTTACTGTCTGAGCAGGAACTGAATGAATCCTCCTGAAGAATGGTCTTCAGGAGGGATCCATTCATAGAAGTGAGTTATTGAAATATTGTCATTCTTTTGCTAGAAAACACATTAAGATGCGGGTAGCTAAAGACATTCCAAAAGAGATTAAAATTATAAACAATTGTATTTTAGAGATGAAACAATCCCAAACCATTAAATCAGCACAAATAGAAGACCTGTTCGATGTAATTTCTGTTCCAGTAAGAAGTACAGGAAAAAAAATGAAACACGTGATTCGTTTAGCCAATAAGATGAACATTGAACCTTGTAGTAATTGTATAGATGACGAACAAAAATAATTCATGAATTACAGTACTATATAATGTAAATTTATACTTTAATAATTTCTTAAAATTTCATTAATTATATTTATTAATATGTAAAATAGACTAAGTTCGTAATTTTTGTAAAATAATACAACTATTTATACGAATGAAAATATATTCTCAAAAATAGTAACTAATTTAAACGTATGTATTTTGAACTGATCTTGTACCCTTTGTGAGTCACTAACTCCATAGTGTGCATTCAGGGTTAGGAATTTTTACCATCAAATTAAACTTGAGTCAAGGTTTCTGCCATGTGAATAAACGGTTATGAACGTTGTATTCAACTATTTTAAATGTATTCTTGCTGATGATCGTTCTGAATATTCGTTTAACTTTGATAGCATGCTTACTGTGAAATTGTTTTATTAAACTGAATGTTATGCACCAGCTGGTAGCTTCGTGGACATAGATACCATAACAGTGTGTAGACCGTATAATTTAAGGTAAAAATAACAGTTAAATATCATAATACTCTTCTTGAATAGCCTTTGTATATACTTATAAGCACTATGTTGGCTTCTTTATTTCTAGACTTATTACACTGTCACTGGACATAAGATCAGCCTTAGAACATCACTTTATTTCCCAAAAAAGTATGCATTTCGGACATTAAGTCCCTAATCAGCTTTTTTTTATACAGTGAATCATTCTATCATTTTATTGTTTTAACAGTGTCTTTTATTACCTACACTGTTTGTTTTAATTATACTGCTCTAAATATCGAATCAGCAAGTTTTTTTAATCAAACACCTGTAACTTGGATCTGTAATCAATGATTTGTTATCGTAATTTACCAAATGTCGTGATTTCATTGTGCATTTCGTAGATGGGGATGTATCAATTTCATAAATATATGTAAGAAAAAGCTGACGAGAGACTTAAGTTCCGAAATGCGTACGTTTTAAGAAAATAAAATGATTTTCTAAGGCTGATCTTGTGTCCAGTGACGGTGTAATAAGTCTAGGAACAAAGAAGCCAACATAGTGCTTACAGGTATATATAGTTAAATATCCTAAATAAATGGAAATTGCATTTACTCTACCTTAGGAGTGGTGTTTTATCCCATTCCTTCTAAGATCACTATGCCGTTCTTGGATTTTTCACAAATAATGCTCTTCGAGATGTCATCACCAGCCAATTATTTCTCATTTATCCATAGTACGAGTTTCTCTATCTCCTCCTTTATTCTACACCTTTCACCACATTTCGCGCATTTATTGCTTCCTTGTTCTTAAGAATGGAATAAGATACATCGTCGACCTCGGCATTTTACACATTCGCCACACATGTACCGCATTCGTAATACGTGATATGGTCTTTTCTTTTTATCTCAATTGTCGATACTATAACCTTCCTCTTAGGTTCTTCGCTTCCACAATCCTCTGAGCATTCAAGCATCCAAGCATGGTAACTTGGATGCTTGGACGTTATGGTAAGCGTTTGAAAAGCTTTACTTCCGGCATCCCTTCTTTATCAATGTAGTTATTGTGTTTTTCAGATTGTTAATAATACATGTAAAAATGGTTACGGCGCTGCTTAATACTATTTTGCGGCATTGGGATAAGGCGGCCTACGGCTTTGGGGAACCCCGAAACAGATCCAGAAACGTCGAAACCCCAAAAAATTTTGGAGGTTATCTGATTGGACATGACGGACATATCCCTCACTTTCCGGATGCCACATTGTGGGTCTGGCTTGAACTCACAAGTGGCTTGTCAAAACGCCCTCTTGGTGTTCACAGGACCAAAAGACTAAGTGTAAAAAGCAACAGGTATATCTGTGCAAATTAATTATAAAAGCTTTAATTGTCTACTCTACATATAAAATACTTAAGTAAAAATCATCATGAAAAATACAAAATAAAAACGATGTCACCTCAAATCGATGATCAGGCAAATCGGCGCGAAATGAGGGGAAAATGTGCCGTTTCCCCGCAGGAGATTGAAAGCAAAACGATCAGAGTTGGCCGCTTATTAATTAACAAATTCTAATATTAATTGCAGATTTGTAAATAATAAATCTATAACTTTTGAATAAGTTGGTGAAGACCTTTAGTAATACTTATAAATTATTATACTTATTTATCACACAAATTTTCTAGGGCTCCTATGTATGGACACAACCCACTCAAGGAATAATTCTAGGAAGTTATTTCTATGGTTTGGTATTAGCCCAACTTGTAGGAGGGACCATTACATTTTTACTTGGACCAAAGAAAATTTTCATAATTTCTTTATCTCTTTCTTCATTATTTATCATTTTGACGCCATTGTCTGCAGATGTCGGTGTTTTAGTTATATCATTATGTCAAGCTATCGTCGGATTTGGGCAAGTAAGAATAAAATTCTCTAATACCATAGAAGAACATGTTGACGGTATCATACTCTAAAATATTTTTATCGCAGGGACTTGTATTTCATGGATCTTTCACACTATTAGGAAGATGGAGTCCAGAAAACGAAAAGTCTACTTTATCATCAATTTCTTATTCTGGTACACAAGCCGGTACATTTCTTGGTTTAATAACCACAGGATATCTTTGTGAACATAAAGGATGGCCTTTCAGCTTCTATGCATTTGGTGAATATAAATCATAGATTGTTTTTTTATGTGTATATACGACTATATGTCATATTTAATAACAGGAATATGTGGGATCATCGTTTCTTTATGTCTTATGTTTACAATTTATGACAGACCTCAAGAACATCCCAGAATATCTAGCAAAGAATTAATATTTCTTAACGAAAGCATAAAAAATATTTCTTCAGGGGAAAAAGTAATATTATTTTTTGCTACAGTTTATTCATCAAACTATGATAAATACTCTGTTTTCATTTTATTTATAATAGAAGTTGAGTATTCCCTGGAAAGGAATTTTAACATCGAGAATAGTATGGATACTGGCTTTGACAAAAATATGTTGGGGTGTCGGTTATTTTACAATATTGACTAAATTTCCATCATATTTAGAGATCATTCTGCACTTTCCTATCAAACAGGTATTGTTATTTTTATACATACAGTATGTCCTTCATCAATAAATTTACGTATGTTATTTACGTTATAGAATGGATTACTGAATTCAGTAGTTTATACCCTGGATTCTTTAACGATATTTACGTCTGGTTTCATTGCCGATTTTATGAAAAGACGTAATTATTTCAGCATTACTAATATCAGGAAAATTTTCGAAACAGTTGGTAAGAAACTGCAGTTTGTTAATGTTTAAATGTATCTATATAATAGATAAATATGATAATCTGTTATATAATAAGATAACATATTTACATATTTTGATTGCAGCTACGTTTGGCCCGGCAGCGTGCATCGTAGCGATTCCAGTTTTAGGCTGTGAGAGTACAACAGTAATTATATGTTTAATAATTGGAATGGGTTGTTTCGGTTTCAATAATTCAGGGGATGTTGCAATAGTGCTTGATTTAGCACCGGAATTTGCAGGTAAGCCATTATTTTTCTTTAATAGAAAGATAATTACAAAATGTAAATTATTCTATTATAAGGCTGTAAAATGAATTGATATGCTTTATACAATATCCTTCAATCACTTGAACAAAGAATATTATACTTTTAAAACGCTTCACCTCTGTGGGCACTAATGCAGCCTCGTTAATAAGCGTCATTGTGGGCCCGGATGAATTCGTAATGGGGCAGCGGGACCTTGAGGAAAGGATTATTCCATAATAATTCCTGGAATTTTCGACCCATCCGGATTTCATCCCTGGTCCTGACAGCAGTGTGTTGTTGCCACACAATCATCCAACCATTATGGAATTTTGGCTAATATTTTAACATTTTTGTGTAAAATGCTTTCATTTAAAAACACATCTATTACAATAAGACATAAGCATATTGGATAGTGTTGTGTAACCTTTAATTGTAAGAGATCAAAGACTATATGAGATAAATAACAAGATAAAGATTTCCTGTATTTAAAAACATTTTGTAGTTTAAAATATAGCCTACAGTTAACACAATTGCCATTTAAATCTATTTAACAAAGAAATAAAAGGGAATGGCTTTTAGGTATTATTTTACTGTCACATATAAAATATATGATATTAGTATCAATTGATTTAATAATGAATATACCACCGATAGCCAAACACTATACAGTTATTATTTCTTTTAATATAAGGCAATCATTTATTTCATCACGCCCCAAAGATCCATATTCTGCTATTGTTATTCCATATTATAAAGTGTAAAGTGTATTCTATTAGGCAATTAATTATCATGCTACTTTTAAATGAAAATTAAGGGTTTATGTTAATTGCTTTTCTTATATCAGACATGTTTAATTATAATAAACTGAAAAATTCGTAAGGTCCAACCAATACTTTATCAAAACAATCACATTTGACAGGTAATTTGAGGTGTTTAATGGCACGTGTTTTTTTATTATATTATAGTAAAGCGACATAAATTTAAAGAGTATTATCTATGCAATACGAGTAGACGTAACTAATTAAACACTCGCTTATCTCGTAAACCTCGTTCCTACAGTTTTATATTAACAGTTGAATGCATAGTTTTGGATAAATTAATCCACCTCTATTCCTCCACATTAACAAGTTATACGTTTTTTACATTGTAAAAAGTACTGCATGTAGAAAATGCCTTAATTGAAATTTGAGATACTTTTAAATTCAAGTGATGTCTACAGAAAATAAACACAGATATAGAAAATAATGCAGTCTTGAACTTATTCTTTGCTGTAATTGTGTTATTACTCATATAGTACTTGTATATCATTTGATTCTTTTCTTACACTTTCTGAAGGAAATTGCCTATTAAAAGATCTAAAATATGTATCCTGGTATCTCTTTCACTTTCTATCGTAAAGTTAATTAAAGCATATACACCAGATAAAAGCTGTACAAATTATGATAGCTCATTAGCTGTTCCACCCCATGCTAACGAAACATCGTCAATGTATAGAACGTATAATAGCGGATAACATGTCACGAGGACTGGAGAAAATATTACAAATTCCTCATGATTAGTTAAGCTAGGACTGTTAAGAGGAGTGAGCACAATGGTACTCATTGCTTATGAAGGTAGATTTCATTGTTAAAGTAAAACTAATTACGATCTGTTACAAGTAAAAGGGTCTTATCTATTTTCAATACTATTGCAAAGTAATCTAAAATCAATAAGTTTTATTAATTTTAATCTTATTTTAGGTGTAATTTACGGATTGACAAACGGTTTATGCAACATCGCAGGCATACTATCACCTTATGCTGCTGGTGTTATATTAGATAGAAATGTAAGTCAAAAGTTATTAAAATTTATATTTATATATTGATATATAACTTATACTAAATTCGTTTATTTTATTTTTAATTATTCAGCAAGGATACATGGTTCAATGGAGCTATGTGTTTTATATGGCATCTTTCGCTTATTTTCTGAGTGGTGTTATATTTCTATTCGGAGCAACTGCAGAACTTCAACCTTGGGCTACCATTAATACAGACACCGAAATACATAACAAAAATTTAAACAAGAATAGAAGAGTAAAGTTGTTTAGAATGATAACAACCCCTTTTGCGGGTTAATAATCAAAAGCAAGAGCGTTGTTGACAAATACACTGAGACCGCTCTTCTATACCTTTACTTTTTAATTAATTACTGATCGTAGAAAGTGTGTGGTTTGTTTGAATTCGAAAGTATGGTAAAGATATTGATAATTGATTCCATTTACATTTCACCAGCCATTTATCTAAATCTCTAAAAAACGAAGATTACTGTTAAGATTCACAATTTATTTTCGTAATCACTCCAGTATTGTGTTACACATAAATTAAATGTAGACGTATTTTTGTTTTTTTATTCTTTTTATCGGAATAATTTTAATAGTTCCTGTAAACAGAATTTTGCGAATTTTATTAGGATGTAGTTAATAAAAGTCTTAAGCACTTAAATGGAATGTCATTTTCTCACATAGATATATAACAAAACATTTATTAAATTTAGGATATTCTTAAAGGATGGGGTTCACATTCATGTCTTTTTTCTATATTTTATATATTATACAATTATGGCATGCCTCAATTAAAAGTGCAGGTGTGCAGTGTGATTTCAGTAATGTCCTGTAGTACTCACCTTTGGTCACCTAGCACACATTGAAGAGAAACTCTTATAGGCTCCCACTGAAGATTTTTGGTGTGTTAGCCTCTACAGCCTGAGTATTTTGTTTCTTAGGTTCTGAAAAAATTGAAGGACTGAGAAATGTAAACTGTCTTTCACGTATCTGCATTGGGAGAAATCGCAAGGAGTCATTGCCATTGGAAAAAGCAGTTGACCATTTCTGTAGCATAGTGATACGGCTCCTCCATTCATAAAGAAAATAATCAATGACCACTCTATATCAGATAAAAGTTGACAGCTGTGTATTTATATTATGCGTATGTGAGAATACGGACGAGGGTCCAGGCCCTCTAATCGTCAGATCTGTTAGACCTGCTCATTTTGTTACTGGATGGCGTAATTTTCAGAACCCGAGTAGTAAGATTCTGTGTGGGTTGTGCATAAGGAATAAATACTCGACTACGAAAGTAGTATAATATAAAATTAACAATTTAATCATTACTAACAATACTACAACAGAATATAATGGATACAAAGGAATAACATACTTGACATACATACAAAGGATAAGGCTTTACTCGGTGGTGTAGCCCTAGAAAAAGTAGGAGAGGGATTAGGGGGAAGAAATGGAGGATAGAGGGATTAAATGGGGGATAAGGGATAGGGAATAAGGAATGAAAGATTAAGGGAAGAGAGGGAACCGTTGGCACCTGTCGGGAACCGTTAGTCCGNTAGCCAAAAAACTGAGTGGCGAACTTCATGATACTCTAAAAGTGTGCATCAGGCCAATAAATAAAATTAAAGCTCATTTTCTCAATTCCAGACTGTTTGCGAAGTTATGTGAAGAAAATGATGACACTTTCAACCAATTACTTTTGCACACCGAGGTAAGGTGGTTGTCAAAAGGTGATAGTTTGCAGAGGCTTGTTGACTTATACGACTCAGCTGAAGAGTTTCTTAGAAATGTGGATCCATCATTATGTGACCAGTTAAAACAGTGCAAGAACCATCTGTTTTATTTGGCAGACCTTTATTCGAAATTTAATATAGTACAGAAGCGTTTGCAAGGAAAAAACGTTACAATTGTTCAAGCTCGAACGATCATAATGGCCTTTAAAGTAAATATGGAGCTATTTAAATCTTCACTGGCACGATCCGATTTTAAATATTTTTTAAACTTGCGAGTACTAAAAGAAAATGAAAAGATTATAAATCAGTGAAAAATATCTCCTTTTTCTGTTAATGTTGGGTAAATTTTATAAGATATGGGAACTATAAATTATTTCGTTGGGTTGTTATGCAGGTCTCCTTATTGCTTAATATCAGAAACGCAAAAAATTATTTAATGTTTTGTAAAATACTTAATCTGGGGGTCGACAAGAAGGAAATATTCTATAAAGGGGTCAATGGGATAAAAAGTTTGGGGACCCCTACCGTAAACAGACTAACATGGCAGAGTTGCGGATGAGTTTCAACGAGTGTGAGTTCATTCACTGTTAAAATAGTGTAAATTTGTAAACATATTTTTTCGAGAACTTTGTTCTGTCGCAATTTCACAATTTCTACGAAATTCCCGGACCGTCCGGGTGAAAACCGAACAGGTGGTAACACTAGGAACAAAGAATGACCTGCATGCATCGATGAATCGAAATTCACATATTGCTAACATCGATTCAGGATCGATGTTTCAAAAACATCGGAAGGTCGATGCATCGACGAACAAAAACATCGGAAGGTCGATGCATCGACGAACAAAAACATCGATGTATCGATGTCACATCGATGCATTCGCACAGCACTAGTTTAAAGTCTGGTCACCGCTATGAGCGGCAACGGAGAGAGGCAGTGGATGGTAGTGTCGTTTTGATTTAAACAGTATCTACAGCGATCGATCATGTGGAAATCTTCCTACAATTGAAACGCATGTCATCTGCCAGCCGTAAATGTAAACAGCTACCACCAGCAGTGGAAAATGGCGCCGATTGGAATTATTTTGTTATATCAATTAAGCTTTCCTACGTTTTCCTACGATCTTATCACAAGTAAAAAAAGCACCGACGCGAAGAATTTCAGTAAGAACAATATTTTGAAATCGTTTGAAGTTAGCAATATTGATTACCTTTGTACCAGAATTACCATTACTCAGTGGCATTTTTATATCTAACAGTAAGAGTGACTTGCTAATATAGTCTGGACACGAATTTGCATAGTGATTATAGGGAATTGCAATATAAATATTGCAATTCACTACGTAGCTTTCCTATAATCACTATGTAGTGAATACTATAATCACTACATATATTGCAATTCACTATGTAGTGAATACTATAATTACTACGCAGTGAATTGCAATATTTATATTGCAATTCACTGCGTACATCCAACATTAGTATCTCATTCGTTTTTTTTGGTTGAATTTCTGAAAAATTTTCATCTTTTTCCAAAGCACCCCAAATCAAATTAAAATGATTTTTTTCTGTTATAAAAAGTCAATAAACTGATTCATCCTAGTAATACAATATGCTATATTAAAATTCTGTCTTTGTAATATATCAAATAGGATATCTGACTGTGCAAATATTTGACGAAAAACTAGTAATAAAAAGTGGGAATCTAAATCTATTAAATAATGGTATAATCTTGTTGTAGCAATTATAGTATCATAATCCCATTGTTCTGGACTTTCGATCACATTCAAGAAAAAAGTTTAAATTCTTGTTTATACTCCATAATGCATTTCACAATTCCACTATTGTAATTCTATGTAATAGATGTGACTGAAGGAAAACGTTTTTTGACTTCTAGGTTTAAGTCGTGAGATATTTTAGAAGATTTAGAAGAAAAAAAATGAAGAAAATCTTGCCATAGTTTGAAAACACAATTTACATTCTTTTATACATCGAACAGATTGAGAGAAAATTAGGTTTAATCTTTCAACATAAAAGTATACAGAAATAGCTTGTTTGGATATTACTTTAATTTTGGCTTGGACACCATTATGTTGTTCAGCCATTACAGCAACACAGTCATACGTTTGTGCCACTAATTTTTCAATGCATGAAATTTGTCTAAGTAACTCGTAATGTGAGTAAATAACGAATTTGCGTCTCTATTCTCACTCACATCAGTAAAGCCCACAAATCGTTCGTCAACGTTACCGTTTTCTTTCACGTAACGGAATACAGTCGGCATCTTAGCACTGTGGCTGATGTCGGTTGTTTCATCTGCAATTATAGCAACAAATTTCAAGTTTTCAATTTTCTTTTTAATTTATTTCAATAAAACGTTTCCTAACGATTTAACGAGAAAATTTCGAATTCTGTTCGATAAGCCAGTAAAAACAGTAGACTTCTCTAAATGTATTTATAATTGATTATCTGACTTACTTAATAAATAAACAAATTCGATATAATTACCTCTGTTATTAGATTCAATAGATTCTCTATACCCTCTAAATGCCAATGTTTGGTTTGATAAAAAAACATATAACATTTATTAATTTAGATATAATATATCTATTAGCCGTAACTACCTTGTTATAATTTGCAATATTTATTTTATATTGTTCACTAATGCTAAATTCTATTATGCTTTAATTTCACAGCAGTTTGAATAAAGGAATTCATCTTCATTGTAAGCCTGGCCAAAGTCACAATGGAGATGAATGGTTGGTGAGGGATGGATCGGACATATTCTTGACGAACTATCTGAATTTTTCCTCTACTGAGATTTAAGACACGAAACCCGAATAACTAACTCCACGTGGAGAGGTGCGAATCTATGAACAACTAGCATTGTCTATTAGTTTCATCCACTTGCACATTTATGGCATATTTTATTTTATAATCGCATTTAGGCCTATATACTTTTTAGAATGTTTAAATAATAAACTTATCAATAAATTTCGCACATGTTTCAATTTAAATCACATCGATGTCCATGGATTTGACCATGGATAAATTGGTGCATTCATCATTTCACTTTGACTTTTCAGTACCATTGACATAAGGAAGATAACTAATACTAGAACATAATGTACTGAAACACTTTCTGGAATATAAATAATTTCTATTAATTAAGATTTTTGGTATTAAATCAAAATAAAAATATTAATTTTTTACACGAGATACTCTGGAAAGCCAAAAAAGGCTTTATTTTTATAAAAATTAAACATTAAGTTGCACTGTTATCATAATACCAACTTAGTATCCTTTATCGGTTTTATCCAATTTTCCACGCAAAATATTATAAAGTTTCAATAAAGGATACTAATTAGGCATGACCACAAATACGTAAGTTGATTTTCACTTATTTTGGAGATAGAACACTTTACTTTTACGTCATAGAATTAGAAATACAGTAGAGCGTCGTTTATCCGAAAGTCGGTTATCCGAAAGAATTCCAGTCGGCAAATTTAAATTTTCGCTAGTGCTGTGGCGCTGCAATCTTTGGCTATATGTTGGGCGACTTCGATATCTTTTTTGTTGGTGTGTGTGTTTTAGCTGACAGCACTGGCACATTTGTGTGGTGTTTTTCTCAGGAATGTGTGTCATGCTGAATTGAACGTTTTTGAAACTAGATTAACTTCCAAAGTATATTTTTTTTGGTTTTTATATTTTTCAATATATTTATTTTATTTGTACAAAATAAGAAAATAATTTTTAACGATACCATAGCCACGATTATTATTTTAAAAAGTTTACGTTAGGCTTAACATCGACAAAAATTCAATGCGAAGCGACACGCAACGGAAAAAAATTTCAACATGGAATAGGTTAATATATTTTTTCGTACGTAAT